ATCAAAGCCCCCCCCCCCCCCGATCGCAGCACCCTATAGCATCCTAGAGGGCCTCCAGAAGAACCCGAAATTCTGACCAAGCTCCCAAACATAAGAGCCTTAAGCATCAGAACCGAATTTGCAGGCATAAATTCCGTATTTTTGCAGTAAGCATTCCAGAGGAATGAGTAGGTTTGGCAATTCTACAGACCAATGGTAAAGCCCAATGGACAAGGCATTCCTTCGTGTCTAAGGTGGAGGGTTTATAGGGCTTAGGCGTTTTGGGGTGTAGGGTTCTTGCGGGCGTCAGCCCCCATGAAGGGCCGTCGTTACGCACCACAGCGAGGCTACAGAAAAAAACCTAGTTCTATCCGCGATGGCCTACCCTCAAGCCTATAAGCCCTATAAGCCCTATGGGAAGAAAAGCCCTAATTCCGAAACTCTAAAACAGCTAAATCCCAAAGACCTAAACCCTAAACCCCCAAATCCCAAAACCCTAACTCTCTAAAACCCTAAGACTGCTGCAGCTGAGCAGCTGTCTACATGAAGATCCACCGGGTCCTCGTGGATTTAGGGCCTGAGGGGTGTAGGGTTTAGGACTTAGGAACTGAGGGTTCGGGGTTTAGGGGTTGAGGGTTTAGGGTTGAGGGTTTGGGGTCCTCGTGGATGTAGACGTCGCTTGCTTTCACATCCCGGCAGAGCTCATAGACCTGTCGTAGACACCATCTTGTAGATCCCATGCTTCTCGCAATTGTGTGGATGTACAGCTATGTGTACAAATATGTCACTACATGAAGAAAGCAAGAGAAAAAAACAATAAACCACGAAACAAAGAAATAACAAATAAAGAAAGGCAAACATGAATATGTATAAAAAAGAGTGTATGGTTATCTATCTGTGATATGCACCGCGTAGTTTGGGTTTTCAAAGCCAAAGCTTCCGATTCCTGCCAGTGTGTAGGGTTTGACCCCTGCTTGCTGACTCCCACGATCCTTCAAGCCAGGGTAACATTTAGGGCTTAGGGTCAATGGGAGCAGGCCCTCCAGGGGCTTTCTCTAAGTTACATGACACTCTACTCATCTATCTGCTTTTGACTGGTCTACTGATCTAACCGTTCTCAGAATAAACAGGCGTACTAGGCTAATTGTCTATTGGGTTTACGAATCTACTCCCTCCAGCTATGGACATCAAAAGAGACCGTGCTTGTCTCAGTCTGTATACAGCGATCAGATTAACCTTCCGCCGACCTGGGCCAGAAACCTCCAAGTCCGACCCCGGCCATAGGCCATAGACAGCTGGCACCTCACATATATATGTATATATATACACATATATATACACACATACATATACATATATACACACACATACATCTCCATACTTATTTATGTATCAAGCGTCGATGCCTCGAGCATGCTCAAAACACTGGTAGTTACAGCGTTTATGCCTGTTTGCACAACATGGTGCGCAAAGATGTTGTGTTGACGATAGTGATGATGATGATGATGATGATTACGAAAATGGGTAGTTCTCTAAATTAGGGTCCCTTTTTAATCCCCAATATAATTAGTACGGCACTCTTATAAAAAGGATCCCAAAAGGGACCCTACTTCAGGGAACTACCCAAATGGTTGTGACCCCTTCAAGAGCAGTAGTAGTTTAGTTCAAGCTTGTCCGCGCGGTGGATCCTGAAAAGAAACCGTCTTCTATCTATTAGGACCTACTGTTGATGATAGAAATCCTGCAAAACCTAAGGACCTTAAACTATGGGAATTTCGGAATTATGGTATACTCCTTATCATGGGTAATGCAGGATTTCTATCATCAACCGTAGTTATTAAGAATGTCCGGCCTTTTCTGGGCCGTTGCTGGCTGCACACACATGCAGTGGCAGGCCGTATCGAGACTTCAGCTGCTGTCGAAGGTTCTCGACGGCTGCGCGCCTTAGACAGAAGCCCAACAAACTTTTGCTCTACACTACCCCAAGCCCCTGAGCCCTAAACTCTAAACTCCAAACCCTCATCCCTAAGCCGTGAAACCCTGAAACCCTAAAATTCGAAACCCTAACACTCTAAAGCCCTAAACCTAATTAACCCCCTAAAATGCAATATCTGCCGACCAGACGCAGGAGATTAAGCCGCCTCTCTGAAAGCCGTGCGAGTTCTCGCGCTTCGAACACGTAGCCTTTTTTTTAGTCTTTAAGGTTTTGGTGCTTTAGGGTTTAGGGATTCAGGCTTTCGGGATTAGATTTTAGGGTGCAGGGCTTTCGGGTTTAGGGCCTAGGGATTACGGTTTTTGGCTTTAGGGACGAGGGCTTCGGGTGTATAGGCTTTAGGAGTTTAGGAGTTAAGTTTGGGGCGTAAATTAGGGTTCCAGTTGCTGTAAGGGCTCTACCTCCTACCTACCTGCCTGCCTGCCTGCCTGCCTGCCTGCCTACCGATCAATCCTGTCTTTTTGTCTGCCTTTGTATCTATCTACCTACTTACCTGCCTGCATGCCTGCTTGCCTGGCGGCCTGCCTGCCTACCCCCTTCGCTCCCTCGCTAGAAACCTAGCTGCCTAGTTGTCTACCGATCTTTGTATCTGCTGATCTGTCAACCTATCTATCTTTCTATCTTTCTGTCTTTCTAACTTTCTTAGCTATCTCTATCTGTCGGCCTAATCTGTGTGCATGTTGATGTAGCTACGCATGTGATGTGCTCGTTTAGTGTGGTATATGGATGTGACGAGAACTTGAGACCCACAAGCTATCTCCAAAAGTTTTCTGCAGTAACCTTTTCTCGAAGCTCTGGGTTAGGGTTAGGGTTCAGGTTCTGGGGGTCTAGGTTTAGGGTTTCGGGTTGGTCCAAAAGGCTCGGTCGTAACCTAAAGCTGCTCCTTTGCAGGAGACGTGAAAGCTTCAATGTGTATGGCGCCCAAACGTCACCTAACTGGAAGCCAGATCCTCATTATACGATTACGATTACCCGAACCCACCCCCTCTCCCTCAACAAAAAAAGGAAGGTTGAATTTCTGAAGCCCTAAACCCTAAACCCTGGACCGTCTGATTTCTGAAACATGAAGAGAGAGCCCAGCAGCAACAGATCGTGCCAGAGGGAGCTCCTGCTGCTCTCGCCAGCCCAGGGTGATCCTCTCGGCTCTTCTTCAGGAACGTAATTTACGTCTGCCATAATAAGGAAACCGTAAACCATTTAATGTGGATCCGTGTTATGGTAACAAGGAAACGATATGAATTCCTAGGGACCCCTATTGTGGTAGCTTGAACTACGTTCTCAGAGTAAGGACAGCATCTTTTTGGCGAATACTGCATGCAGATCGCCACTACGGTAACTTAAATTACCCTTATAAGCATAAACCCTAAACCAGAAACCCTAAACCCGACTACGGCTAGAAAAAACCCAGTCTCCTCCACGCGAAGATCTCCACTACGAAACCACACCACTGCGGTCTCCGAGGGTCTTGGCAGCTCCTTGCTTCCACAATATATAATACAATATAACAGTAGCATAAAATGTTTTGATGAAATATAATAGAACAGACTCTAGTAGAGATGTATAGATAGTATAGCGCAGTATTATATAGTATAGTACAGTTTAGTACACTAAAGTACAGAATAGTATAGCGAAGTATACCAGTAGTATAGCAAAGTCTAGTCTGGCCTAGTATAGCATACTAGAATAGACACTACACCACAATATAAGAATGTATACACAATAGCGAAGGAAATTGAAATCGGAACCCTAATTTTCAAGCACGGGATAAAAAACAAACAAAACGAGTGCTAACAACTGTTTTTGCGGACTTCAGGAATCCCTAAACCCTAGACCCTAATTAAAAAAACATGGTACTGTTGCGCTCAGTCTCCGGCTCCGGCAGCAGCGCAGATCCCTGGGCCCTGCGCACGACGCCGCGCTCGGCGCGCCCAGGGCGTCGCAGAGGCCGCGATCGGGTAAGGGCTCGGAGGGTGCCGCAGGAGGCAGCCAGGGCACCACCTGACGGCCAGCACTGTAGGCGAAACTTTCGGGTAGAGACTTTGGGAAGGTTTGTGCATTTTTGAAGTTCTGAATTCTACAAGTTGGAGAACAAAGCCACCTTTGAAGCTCGCGGCTGACCCCCCAGGGCTGCTGGCAGAGGTTCTGACATCTGGCTTGCCCGAAGCTTGGCCTGGCTCTAGGCGAGGAGCCAAGGCCCTGAGTGTCGAGGAATCTCGGATCATGAGCTCCATGGCGGATCTATGCGGATCTGTTTTCTGCAGCTCTTTGATCTAATGCGCAACGTAATATCGGCACATTGATAGTTAGAAGAATAAAGCTTTGTAGTATAGTGAATTATAGTTGTAACAAGGAGGCCCAAAAACAGTACTATAAATTGATAAGGCCCCTCTCTTAGGTCCATGGAGATACGTCCTGCGGGACCCTGCCGTCTGCACTACTTCGGCTGCTGACGGCGGACTACAACACGGCGGACTACAAGGGCAAGTCTTCGTCTATTAAGTTCATGTACGAAACGGTTTAGGGTTCAGGGTTTAGGGTGCTGAGTAAGTAGGGGTGCCTTGCCATGCTCTCTGCTGAATGGGCTTGCAACTTTTGCACTGCTGTGTGCTATGAAGCTCAGCCTACCAGCTGCGGATGGACGTGGTCATGCTGCTCCGGATGTCTACACCCCCCCGCCCCCCAATGCAGCATGAAGCTCATCCCCTGTTTATCCGAATCACATCGAAACCAAACACCACGGTGGTTTCAAGCCCTGGTAGCGTTCAAAGTCTCAGCCGCGATCTATTCATTAGCCATCAGCAATCTACAGCAGGAAATACCCAACTGTGATCAGCACCAGTATCGCTATGCATATGCACTGATCATACTTGTATTTGTCGCTATGCTGCTATGTATGTTCTTTGCTCCCACACTTTCTCCTTGCTCCGATGACTGGCACTAGTTTGCTGTATCAGTGCCGGTAATGCCTGTTTAAGGTCTTCGTCTTTCTATCACCGACCACAGTTCCACAATACGGATACCTTGTCATGCAAAGGCTCTGGCTGATGCCATGCTCTCGCGTGTTTCCCTTTGAGTCCGAAGCCCGAAGCCTCAACACCAGAACTCCCAAAATCCCAAGTCCGGTTTCGGCTCCATGTTTAAGTTTAAGGTTTAGGGTCTATTGGGAATTCCTATAAAGGTTTAGGCTTTAGGGTTTAAGAGTGCCATATCTCGACTTCGCATCGCTGAACAGGATCCTCACCCTCCCAAACCCTAAGTTCCCGAAGTCCCTGCAACCTCAAATTCCCTCAGACTGCTTCGGGACCATAATGTAAGGCAGCTGTGGCGGCGCGTTATGACAGTGCCAGGCATGGGACTTCTTGAAAACACCAAAGAATACGTTCAATTCCTGAGTGGCTCGCCGTTTTCTGCTGACCGAACAACGCGACAAACCGCTTCCCACCCGTCTCTTGGGTTGCTGCAGTCGCGCGGCATGCAAGTCCAATAGAAGCAGACGGATTCGGGCAAAGTTCCGGTGACGGTCCGGCCGTGTTGTGGCGTCTCCTTGGCCTGCGGGCTTGGCAGACGTGACAGGCAGGAGCGAAGCCGTTACCAACGTCTGACTGCTCTGCAAGCAAAGTTCTTGCACGAGAGCCTGCTCGGCTAACCTCTGCCTTTTCCGAAGGTCTTTCTGATTCTTTCCTGGATTCTTGCGCTTCCTGGGCACCACTTCGGCTTCCGGGCGGGCAGCGTCCATGTTGGAGCACAAGCCGGCCAATGTCTTGCCCTAGGCGGTTTTAGCGGGGTGCGCTTCAAGGCCTGTGACGTACTCATCCTCTCCATGTACCGGCATTCAGAGTGCTACCAAGCAGAACGCTGCCAAGACTGTCTGCATTGAATCGACTGCAACGGCACACAACTGCAGCCAAGCCTCCGACCGACAGCGTTCTCTTTCGTCACCGCGCAAGCGGCCGACTGACCCTGTAGATTTGAAACCCTCACCAATCGACATGTCAGGTAAGCGTGCCGTGTCGCTCTTTAGCGAACCTGCACACAGAAGGAGCACCACCGGCCCGGGCTTGCGCTCGGGCAATTTGTCCCAGACGCCCTCCCTCGGGACTTCAAGACAACTCGTCCTGGACTCACGTTTTCTTTTGTTCAGGCTCCCGCCGACCGAGCAGGTGCCTCCAAAACCCACCGCGGGACAAGCCTTTCCCCCAAGCCGGATGTACCGGCAAGGGGTCCAGATCTTGCAGGCTTCGCGCCCTTCGCCCGACCAGCCCTGTCAGACTTTAGGATTATTTCTCAGAAATTCGATGATTCTAAGCTTCCTCGTCGACGGTGCAAAGGCTGCTGTCGGAGTTGAACAAGTCTGGAACCAACTCCTCCAAAAGCCTTCGTTTCGTGCTCTCTTCAGTTCTGGGTTTCGGTCCTGACCGAGGCTCGCTGCCAGTGCAGTCGCGAACTCCCGCATCCCGACCAGGTTCAGGTGGGTGCCGTCCGCATAAATCCATTGTCGGGAACGCAATTAGGGAGAGCAATCTCCCCAAGCCGGCGTCTTGCCTGGGGTCTTGCATTCTTCCAAAATAGATGCCCCGTCTTCCCATATGAGCCCGCGGCCGTCACGATCGACATCTTCCAGAAAAGATCGGGGTCTCGGCTTCGTCAACGGCCATGACCTGCTCGGGCAAACATTCCCCTTTCGTGGGTGCTGGTGTGTCCGGACTCTCCTGCCTCACAAGCCACGTCGAGATGTCACCTAGGAAGGACTCGATGGTGCACATTGCACCGAAATGCCAGCGGCCTTCAACCCAAAACCCTCAACTCCCGAACATAACCATAGACGCTGCTTTTTGCTGCCGAACTCAGGAAGTCCGCTGGCGAAGGTAAGGCTTTGGGTAGATTCCAATCGCACCAGTGCTTCGGCGAACGACCTGAGGGTCAGAAGCCCTTCTAGGGATTTGGAGTTGGTGTGGGATGGGCTTCTAGGGATTTGGAGTTGGTGTGGGATTTTGAGGAAGCGTGATGTAAATTCGACTTCTGGGAACTCCCTTCGAAGCTTTCTAGGATCCTAGCAAAGTTAAGCTACGGCTTGAGGTGTAGGTTTTTTTTGGGGATTATGTGTTGGGTGTGGGGCTTGTTCCGTATCAGGGTACCCTCTAATCGATCCTTGTCCGCAGGAGTCTGTTTTCGTGAGCACAAAGGAACCCCTCCCGCTCAACCTTGTAGATCCTAAACATCCCTAAACGAACCCTTAACCACAAACTGGCCCACACCTTCTATTTCTGGCCCTAAACCCTTAACCCCAAACCCGAACCCCTCCCCCTAAACCCCACACCCGAACCCTAAACCCTATTCCCTGCTCGAGGGTTTCAAGGTCTCTTGCAGCGCCTTCGGGCTTCGTTTCGGGTTGAAGTTCAGTCAGGGCTTCAAGCTCCTGGGGTATTCTGTGGAAGATAAGGTTTAGGGCTTAGGGTTTAGGGTAGGCACCTTAGGAAATACCTATGTATTCAGGAACCTTGAGGAATACTAGTGGCAATTATGCCCACCCCTCAATGACCGTCTTTGACCTACAGCTTCACTACTTCACTACCAACCAACACCAATTGCCATAGCTGATTTCCGCAATGAAGCGGACTACTCTGTTATTGACAGCAGGAAATGTGCCCTTTAACACCCCACCGAAGCTATGACAATCCTCAGGCAGAGTTACCGGAACAGATTCATTCATGTACTGCCTGAATCATAAAATAAGCCCGCTCTAAGTAAAGGGCCCAAGAACCCAAAAACCGATGTTCCAAAATCCTGCGCAACACATGTCTTGGAGAAACCCAGTTTCCTGCTCCCTCGTACCACAAAGCCCAAACCGCATGAGCCCCAAGCACTCCCCCAGAAACCAAATCCCGAAACACTGAGGCGCCAACGCTGAAGCCTTGCTCCATGCCCTGGCCCTCCTCGAAGGAATGTGCGTTCGGATAATTCTCAAAAGTAGGGTCCCTTGTGGGGTCCGTTTTAGGGTGTGGTGCTACATTGGGGACCTAATAAGGGACCCTAATTCAGACAACTACCCATTTGGGGTTTAGGAATGTGAGTTTGGGGTTAGTTTTGCATGCAGCGGTCAGCCCCTGAAGCCTCAACCCGAAGGGTGACTGTCGGGTTTCGGGGTGGGTCATGGGCTGCCATACATCATACATGAAAGACCACATATGACACATGAGCAACAGTGAGCGCCTGCTTGGACCTCCAGGTTTTAAGCCTGAACTCTGGACTTTCGTCGTTAGGGTTTAGGGTGTAGCGCTACTTGGAGTGTTGCCTCAACATTCCAAATAGCACAAAACCTTCGGTACTTGGTTTTTGGACCTACAAGCCCTCAGCCCGAAGTAAGAAGGCCTATCAAAGCTTTTCAAGCTCCTCATCATGAATGGGCTAAATGAAGTCCCTCACCGCAACCCTAAAAACCCGGTAGCCCTAAGGCCCTAAACCCTAAAGCCCTAACTCCCTAAAGCCCTAAGTTAAGCTATGAGATCTTTTAGTCTTGGCACCCGAACTCCAGGGTCGAGCCGGCTCTGATCTCTAGCATTTTTCCTGTTCAAAGCCCTCGGCCCCTTAAAGCGAAGGCCTTGAAGGAGCCCCTACAAGGAACCCCTGTAGATTCCTTAAAGGAGCACTCAAAGGAGCCCCTTAAAGTGAAGGAGCCCTTCAAGGAGCACCTGTAGAGCCCTTAAAGGAACCCTTGTAGATCCCTTGAAGGAGCACTTCAAGGAACCCCTATAGATCCCTTAAAGGAATCCCTTATTGATCCCGTATAACTTATAGCTTTTAGGCTTCCAGGGCCCGAAACATCAAAAGATCCTAAGCCATCGATCTCCTTTACGAAGTCGCCAGGGTAACTGCGGACCGCCGCACTATAGGGTGTAGGGTTTTTAGCGTTTAGGGTTTAGGGTGTAGGGCTCAGGGTTTAGGGTTCAGGGTTTAGGGGCCTTGATAAGTAGAAGAGGCAGACCTCAGTGTTATGTAGTATCCCCAAAACCTGACAGCCCCTGGCTGTGAGAGATGGACACCCTGAACGCCTAAACCCAAAACCCTGAACCCTTATATGCTGTGGAAGCCTTGTGCAACTCCTGGTTTAGGGATCAAGCTGCAGCTTTTTCTACGAACACCTTCGCGAGCTCTGGCAGAAGACGTGGCTCCCCGACACGTGTGCACCGGATGTGGCACGAAATGTCTTGGTGACACAACTACAAACCAATCA